CATATTTACAATATATTTTCTTACAGGCAGGCACTACCAAATACTGATATTAATTCATGAATATCTGGTTTAAATTAAGGATATTCATTGTTTGGAAGGCACTTATAGAATTCTCTTAGAGTCTTCTCTTGATAATTAATTTTTGCATGTTATTACATTGCAGACAAATTGCTTTCCATTGAAGCTTAGAAATTTCTAAGTTGCACAGATTTAAGTGGATTTTAAAATATGGAAATTTCCTTTGTACTTGCATCGAGGTCAGAAAAACATTGCTAGACCTAATCTGAACCCAGAAATAGGTCTGTTATAAACAGAGATTGGAAATTTCTTTTTTTATATAAAGCAACTCAATACTAGTTGTGATAGGAACATTAGTTGTCATCTAAATGACTTTACCATACTTTCAAGTTTTGCGTATAAATACTGTCTACTTCATATTTAGGTTGAATTTCTCAAGAAACATTATCAAGTCTGCAACCAAAGCTAACTTTCCAAATTATGAATGGTGGTTGAGGGCAGGTTTAACTTTTTCTTTAAGAACAATTTCAGTCTTAGGGCTGGATAATAGCACATGGGTAAAATGTGACACTCTGTGAGACTGAGCCATTCGAGAAGGTTCTGGGTTCATGTCTGGCAACCTCCCTGGTTGTAGTGGGCGTATGTGTGCGTATGGCTGAAGGTAGGGGTGGATCACGGTATCAGGACCCTGTTGGGGTATTGTCTCTTTGTGTCTCTCTCTGTCTCTCTCACTCATACACAAATCAAAATAATAAAAGTTGATCTCAGCCTTGAGCTAAAAAATTGCAATAAAACTTCATGATTGTTAAGCTATGTGAGAGGGAACGTGAACATATTCACACAATTTTTCAGTCGTTTTAGAATCAGTATCAATCTCTTGAATAGTCAGCATCTGAATAATATTGATAACACTCTTTGATTCAAGGGCCAACAAAAACCACTCAAAATCATTTGCATTTTTTTAAGGTTTTTGTCATAGTGCACATGCATTTGCCAGAGAGACAGAGAAAGACAATGACAAGGAAAGCGAGAAATAACCCTGCCCCCCACCCCGGGGAGGCGGGGAGGGAATGGCCACGCTACATTCCTTTCTCTTTCATTCTCCTGGGATTTGGGGCACATATGCTCACAAGACCGGTGCGATTTTCATCTGGGCACTAACTGCAGTTGGCCCTGCGGGAGCCCAGTCCTTAACCACCACACCACCTGCTGGCCCCTGCATTCTTATTTAATGGATGATTGGTGGTGTTTCAATGCTCTCAACTTTTAGAGCAACTCTGCAGGTTAAATAGCTAAAGTTTGGTTTTTTTCTGGACACATTTTTTCTGCTGCAACCAAACATGACTTCCTGAAGTGTTAGTAAACAGCTTTCCTTGCTTGGCTAACAGGAAAGCAAGTGGGACGCTGCAAGGGTTTAACTGTCCCCACCAAAACTTATGCTGAAATAGATCCCCATCCTAATAGTAGTAAGAGGTGAAACCTCTAAGAGCTGATTAGGTCAAGAGGGCAAAGCCCTCGTGAATGAATTAATGCTGTTATCGCAGGAGTGGATTCTTGTCATGAGTGTGGGCTTCTGATCAAAGGATGAAGTTCAACTCCAATCTCCCTCTTGCTTTTGCATGTCACTCCTGTCTTTAGCTTGGGATTGGATGAAGACCCTGGTCAGACGCTGGTGCCATGCTCTTGGACTTCCCAATATCCAGAACCGTGAGCTGAATACATGTCTATTATTTATAAACAATCTAGTCTATGTATTCTGCTATAGCAGCAGAAAATGGATTAAGACACTTTGAATGAAGTCTTATTTCCATTTATTTCTGAAAAGAAATTTTACTGTCATGAGATATTCTGTTTTCTTTTCTTCTTTTTAGAGTGTGCTTTTTTTTTGCTTTAGCGCTTGTGTGCTCACCAGAGAAACAGAAAGTGAGAAATCGCCCCCCCCCCTCCCTGGGTGGGGGATAGTCATGCTACAATCTCTTCTCCTCCATTCTGCTCTCAGGATTTTGGGTACACATGCATACACACCTGGTGTGAATTTTAAGCCGCCGGGTCTGGGACTTGAACTGCAGTTGACTACGTAGGAGTCCAGTGACATTACCATTACATCATTTGCTAGTCCCAAGATATCACATTTAAAATTTTCTATTGTTTTCTGACCATTGGTTTCCTGTGAATTGGGAATATCGTGATGATTGCTTCTGGCAATGTCACCATATGGCTATAATGTCACTGCATGGTAAACACAATGCTTTGCCATCTAATTTAGTCAAAACAGTCCACACTCCACTGTGCCTCTGCAGCACATCACACAAGGTCTACCTGAATATAAACTGGCAATTGAAAAATAAGACATCCTGGTTACAGTATCCATGAGGCACTACTGTGATAACAAGCTATCACTGTGTCAATGTGATCCGCACACAGGGCATTTCTGCACAGCGATGGCAACATGTCACACTCTGTCACAGAACACCTCCAACTCTGCGGTGCAGAACAAGTGCAACCATAGCCAATGGGTAAGCAAATAAACGTGCCTGTGTTTCAACGCAACATTTATGGATGCCGAAATTTCAGTTTCATGTAGTTTTCATGTGTCGTGAAATATTATTCTTTTAAATTTTTTTCAAAGACTAAAAGGTGAAAAAAAATATTTTTGAGCTCAGCTCAAAGGACCTCTTAAAAACAGGTGGCAGTCCAGACTTGAGTGCAGGCCATAATTTGCTCAACCTACTCTAGAAGAGGAGCCAAGGGAAAAGTTTTTCAAGAGAAAGTCTAGGAAATGGCCACTGGAACTCCCAGTTCTTTGTTGAACTCAGAGAAAGCAGGCTGTGTTTTCTGTTTCTTGTTTTTCCCCTAGAACGTGCATGTACTTGTCAGAGAGATGGAGAGAGAATGAGAGGAAAGCACCCCCCACGGGGAGTGGTCACACTACAATCTCTTCTCTTCCATTTCTCACCTCCTTTCTGGATTTTTGCCACACACGCACACACGCCATCATGTTTTCAAGCTGCCAGGCCTGGGGCTCAAACCGCTAAGTCAGCCATGTGGGATCTACCTGTCTTAACCAACAGGCCACAGAGCCAGCCTGAAAGCAGTTTTTGACAATACTGTGGGGCAAACTTCCAATAAAGTGGACTGAAGTATGAGTGGAAGGTGAGAAAACAGATATGGGAAGTGTAAGCAATCTTCATGAAATTTGGCTCTTAAAAAAATGGAAGACAGGATGTGATTTAAGAGAGGATTTTCAGAGGTCAGCAGGTGGTATAGTGTGTAAGGCACTGGACTCCCACATGGCCAACTGTGGCTCGAGCCCCAGACTTGTTGGCTTGAAACTCACACTGGATGCATGTGCGCATGTGCCCAAAATCCCAAGAAGAGAATAGAGATTGCAGTGTGGCCATTTCCCCTGGGGGGTGATTTCTCACTTTCTCTTTCTCTGTCTCTCCAGCAAGTACACATGCCCTGTAACAAAAATCTCTCTTAAAAAAAATGGGGAGAGGAATTTTGAGGGCCAGCAGGTGGTGTGGTGGTTCCACATGGCCAATTCCAGAGCTGGATTCCACATGGCTGACTGCACTATTCGAGCACGCGACCCAGAAGCTTGAAAAACAGGCCAGGTGTGTGTGTGCGTGTGTGTGTGTGTGTGTGTGTGTGTGTGCATGCGTGCCCAAAAATCCCAAGAGGAGAATGGAGAAGAGACTGCAGTTTGGCCATCCCTCATTTTGATGCTTTATTGTCCTCTTCTCTCTGTCTCTCCCAGGGTCATACTTGCTCTACAAGAAATTAAAAAAAAAAAAAAGATTTTCGGTTAAAATAGGAGAGACTTGAACATGAGAATGTATTTTACTTTCTACTTCTTTTTTAATTAGGCAAAGAATACCTATCTTGAATTTTCTTAGAAAAGTCAAATGAGATAAAGGTTTTGTACCCAGAATGATGCCTAACATTTAGGAGATTTCCAATAATTGGTATTAACGTTCACATATATTTACTATTTCCTTTGTAAAAAGAAAAATAAAAAAACAAGAGTTTATTGTTGCTGCATAACATTGCTATTTGGTTCTTGAACCTTCTTTAAAATAAAAATTGTAGCCCCTTATTGAAGTATTTAGAAAATTGTTTAAAGAATCAGAACCAACTGGTGAAAACACTGTAAATTTTGATTTTAGAATTTCCTTGACTTTCCTTTGTATGAGGAACATTCCTCATGAATAAAAACATTTAATGGGGGACCAGCAGATGACATAATGGGTATATTGCTGGACTCTCACATAGTCAACTGAGGTTCAAGTCTCAGACCTGGTGGCTTAAAACTCAGGCTGGGTACATGTGTGTGCATGCCCAAAATTCCAAGAGGAGAAGGGACTGCAGGGTGGCCATCCCCCTGGGAGGTGATTTCTCACTTTCTGTTTCTCTCTCCAGTGAGTGCATGCGCCCTATAGCAAAAATTTCTTTGGAAAAAAAAGCTTAGTGGACAAACTGTAGCCTGTTGGTTAAGGTGGCTGGATCCCAATGACTACACAGTTCAAATCCCAGATCGTCTGGCTTGAGAAACAAGATATCAGATATATTTTGATATGCCCAAAATATCAAAAGGGGAAAAAAATGGAGAAGAGATTGCAGTGTGACCACTTCCCATGGGGGAGAGGTGGTTCTTACTTCCTCTCTCTCTGTCTCTCTCAGGGGCGCCCACACAGCCTTCTTCCCCCCCAAAATAGTTAGTAATTTGAGAACACAGACATTTTTATCTTCTAGGACCCAGGATTAGTCCCTTATACTCAAAAGATATTCAGATATTTTTGAATGAACGAACAAATGAATGAATGAGCAAACTGATAAACACTTCTGAATACAAGTATTAGGTTTAGATTTTTATCTACTAGGGATGACATGATTATTTCAGAGCATTAGTATTCTGTCTTAAGAGCTGCATTCCTACTATTTACTTACACTAAAATAATTAGACTGAGGCCAAACTCTAATAAAATCCAATCTGGAACACAAATGTTTATTAGAATAAAAATACACATACAGTATCCAACATTAAAATTATTTCACATCACATGTAGGTTTTACTTCCGTTAGTTTTTTAATGCCTTTAAAGTCTACGCTTTAAATAATTTGCACATATGTAAACAAGTCTTAGATTACCAAAGATGCAATGTATCTATTAGACACTGAATATCAAAATTTAGACATGGGAGCTGAGTTATAGCTAAACATTTCTGCAAATTTTTGGAAAGAGAGGAAAAAGATTAAAATAATTCACTTGAAATGAGGTAAGTTGTATGAAAAGGTTTTTAGTAACACATACCACTCATGTTGAGATGAGAATATTAAAAACATTCATGGTAAACGCACTTCAATGTTTGCATAGGCTAGGTTATCTTTTTAAGACAAAAATTAAAAATTACCAAAATTCCTTATTAGAAAAAGAGACAGTTATCTTGTTCTACTTCAGATCTGTGTATGTTCTGAGTCTTTCACTTATTTAGAAAAAAGAAGTGATACAAACATTCACAAATCTATTAAGAAAATTAAGATTAGAACCAACATTTCAAGCTGCCTTTTGGAAAGAAAATTAAAAACAGAGGTAGATGGTTAAATATTAGTGACCAAGTTACTCAAGTGACTTTTTGTCTTGGTGTACACTCACCAAATTTTTACACTTGAAGCCAAATAGTAAATAACTTTAGAACTGGAGAGTAAGACCTACCAGAAGTTATATTCCTTATGTCAAAGAAAAGTACTAGAAATAAACCAGGCTTAAGACCCCGTTAAGGATGTGATTGTTTAAAGCACTACAGTTCATGCACTTTTTAAAGCAGGAGAATGAACCTTGCCCCTAAGCGTCTTGCCCCTAAGCGTCTTAGGCATCTCTGTGACCCAGCCGCTGCCCGTCAGGCCTGGTCAGTCGAAGTAGGACTGCAGGGTGCCTCGGCGACGGACGTCGCAGGTCCAGCAGTGGAAGCCTCCTCCCAGGGAATTGGCGTGGCGAATGTTCACCTTAATGGTGCTGATGCCTGTGTTGAAAGAAGAGGTGCGGTCGGCTAGAGAGTGACATGAAGTTCTCCGACAGAACGTAATCCTGAGTTGAGGAGTGAAACTGCTGTTCTAACCTCTAAGGCTACCCACACCCAGAAAAGCCTTTACCTTACTATTTTATTTTTCAATTTTTGGAGTGTATGTGCAGGGAGAGACCGAGAGACAGAGGGAGAGGGAGAAAGTACCCCCTGGTGGGGCATGGTAACTTGGCATCTTTTTTTTTGTTTTTTTTTTGAGAGGTTTTTGCTATAGGGCGCGTGCGCTTGCCAGACAAACAGAGAGAGACACAGAGACAGAAAGTGAGAAATCACCCCCAGGGGGGATGGTCATGCTGCAATCCCTTCTCCTCCATTCTCCTCTCGGGATCTTGGGCACACATGCACATGCGCCCGACGTGAGTTTTAAGCCACCAGGTCCAGGATGCGAACCGCGGTCGACTATGTGGGAGTCCAGTGACATAGCCATTACGCTAACTGCTGGTCCCCAACTTGGCATCTTTTCTCTTCTATTTCTCCTTCCTGTGGGGATCTGGGACATGCATGCACATGTGCCGAGTGTGTTTTTCAAGCAATGGGATTCAAACCATAGTTGGCCATGTGGGATCTAGATCCCTTTACCACATTAAGCTATGGGGCAGCCCTAAATTTTATTCCTACCAACTACTGGGTTGTCGGAAATGTCATGGTGTATTTTTTTGTTTGTTTTTCTATGCAAAAAATGTGCCATGACTTTCCAACAACCCGATATATTTAGTCTAATCTATCCTAGAGCTAATATAAAATTTTCACCAAAATGTCATTGGAGATTTTGAAGTTTAATTCTATTGATTATTCATAAGTCAATAGGGTGCATAGACCCAGCCACTCTGGCATAGCAGAAACACAGCATCCTTCAAGGTTGGAAGTCATATGGCAGACCAGGGGTTTGCATCCCTAGGTCAATCTGAAAACACAGCCGGCATGCACGCAGAGGTCCTGAGGAGCTGGAGGGCTGGGGAAAGGAGACCATGGTGTCACAAGACCCTGTTGAGGGTTCTCTCTCTTGTATGGGTGTGTGTGCACTTTCTCAATTAAGGAAAAAAAAAAGACTGGAGCCTCGGACCCAGTTGCTTGAAAATCAAGCCAGGCATATGTGCACGTGTGCCCCAAATCCCAAGGAGAATGGAGGAGAAGGGATTGTAATCACCCTGAAGGGTGATTTCTTACTTTCTCTCTTTCTCTGTTTCTCTTTAGAGAGTGTGCATGCCTCACAGGGGGAAAATAGAGTGGATAAACAGAAATACCTACCAAATGTTTAAAATAATCTAGTACTAAATTTTCAAGGACTTACAGAATTGTGCTTTAACTACTTTGTCAAACTGTTTCTAATTTTACTATGTTAATTTAGTAGGAAAAGTATCATTTAGCTGACCTTAACAGCTGACTTTACCCTGGTGGCTTGAAAATCATGCTGGGCATATGTGTGTGCATGCCCAAAATCCTGAGAGGAGAATGGAAGAGAAGCGATTGCAGTGTGGCCATCCCCCCTGGGGGATGATTTCTCACTTTCTCTCTCTGACGCTCTATGACTAAAGCAAAGACAAACAAACAAAAATCCCCTGAGTTTACATGCTCACATAGAAGCAGAGATTATTTAATACAAATGAACTTTACTAGGCCACCTTAAGGAAACCATGGAACAGAGCTAAGACTTTAGTATCTGGGCTGCAAGGTTGTGTAGGTACCAAAACTAATCAGACAATCAGCTTAATCTGATACCCTCTGAAACGACATGGTGGTGACTGCATGCCTCCCTCAACCAGTAGTATTTAGGAAGAGCTGCTGTGTTAGGTACAGCAGGATTTTAAGAAGAAAATCAATTCTCCTCCCCCAAGGAATTTAACATTTTGAAAGGGGAGATGAGCTACAGAGTCACAAAAGGGCCCACTGGTACGGCCAGGGAGGGAAGGAGGGATGAGTTGTTCTGAAAAAATAAGACTGAGTGGGGCTCTGCAGACCAGGAATATGGTTTGGACAGAGGTAAGGAGTAACTCTGGATAAACAGTAGGCTTCCTTCCTTCCTCTTGGCCAGAGAGCACGTGCACTTGCCAGAGATAGATAGACAGACAGGCAGACAAGGGGAAGTCACCCTCCAGTGGACACGTGGCCACACCACACTTCCCTTTTCTGTTTCTCCATTCCTTCAGGACCTCAGGCACAAATGCACACATACCCAGTGTGTCTTCCAAGCAGGCGGGGCCAGGACTTGAACTGCAGGCACCCATATGGGATCTGGCTCTCAATGCACAGTGCTTAACCACTGTGCTACAGGGCTGGCCACTTATCATTTTCACATATGACAATGTATTTAATTTATTGTACTTACCCAGCTTTTCAAACATCTTTTGAATTGGGACTTCATTGGCGTCCACCATGACACGCTTTTCATCAAGCATTAGGACATTCATGGAAAGCCATTTAGATGACATCCACAGTGGGTGATCTAAAAATAGCAACAACTGTTATCACTTTTGTTTAAAGCAAGGATTTGCAAGGCTCAGTGCTTTCCATAGTTTGCTTTCTGTGTAAAGTTCTTTTTTAATCTTTAAACAATTTATCTATATATGTTATGAATCAATCCATACTCATTACATTTCTAAATGTCACCATTTTCTTTACAAAATCCTTTTTATTTTATTTTATTTTTAGATTTTTGCCATAAGGCATGTGCACTTGCTGGAGAGAGACAAGAGAGAGGGAAAGTGAGAAATCAACTGCCAGGCGAGATGGCCATGCTGCAATCTCTTCTCTTCCATTCTCCTCTTGGATTTGGGGCATGCAAACACATGCTCTTGGTGTGATTTTTAGGCTGATGGTTCTGCAGAGTCGGCCACATGGGATCTAGCACCTTAACCACTATACCACCTGCTGACCCACAAAGTCATATCTTGCTTTATATGGTACTGGTTTTTTTTCTATCTTCTTGCTTTCACGTTCTATAGAATGAAAAACTGCAAACACAAATCCTAGTATTTTTCTAGTTCTCATCATCTTAATCTCTACTTTGTTCCTTACCAGGGACATGTTCTCTCTAAATTGTTGAAATACATCTTGCTCTCTTTAAGTTCCTTGGCAGCTAAAGTAATCATGCTAGTCTTGAAATATATAAAAGTTAAACATACCATCTGGGATGATTGGTATAGGAGGAGTAACTATGGTCCATCCCGCCTTCTTGAAAAGATCAATCTGTAAGAAAAAAACAAACAAAACGCAAAGAGGTTTAAATTTATACATGATATTTTTATCCTTCTTGCTCTCTCAGCCCTTACCATTAATAATTCTTTTTGAGGAACTGTCTTCTCAACTACCAAAATAAAAAAAAAATTAAAATTTCAAAGCATTTGGATAATTCTATCTGAATTCTAATTAAAAATGTATATAAAATCCACAGATGAAGTTAAAAAGTAAGAGAATATTAAAACTTTTAAAGATATGGCTGATAATGGGGCCAGTAGATGGCACGGTGATTAAGGCACTGGACTCCCACATGGCTGACTGTGGATTGAGTCCCAACATGGTGGCCTGAAACTCAGTCCAGGCATGTGTGCATGAGTGCCCAAAATCCCGAAAGGAGAATGGAGGAGAAGGGGCTGTGTGGCCATGCCAGGGGGTGATATCTCACTTTCTGTCTCTCTCTTTCTGTCTGTCTCCCAAGCACCTATGCCCTATGGCAAAAATATCTTTAGAAACAACAACAACTGAAACAACCAAAGATGCTTCCACTTTTGTCAAGTTTCAGAGAGTTAAGATATCAAAGATACTTTCCTTAGGAAACTATCATTAAAAGGAAAATGAAAATATTCCCTAACAATTTAGTTGTAAGTAAACAAAACTGTGTCTATGCCAAAACCATAGTCCACCCACTTCAGAGTCCATTGCTTTGCATATATATGACAATGGTACAAAGACGCACATTAGGGACATAGTCCCAAAGAACCATAATTGTCCTTAGCGATCTATGACAGCCATCCCTATGTTCACATGTATATAAAGCAATTATTTTTTTTTGAAAGGTTTTTGCTATAGGGCATGTGTGCTCGCCAGAAAGACAGAGAGACAGAGACAAAACTGAAAAATCACTCCCCGGGGGGATGGTCACGCTGCAATCCCTTCTCGATTCTCCTCTCGGGATCTTGGGCATGCACGCACACGCGCCCAGTGTGAGTTTAAGCCACTGAGTCCAGGAGGCAAACCACAGTTGGCTACATGGGAGTCCAGCTACATAGACATTACGCCAACTGCTGGTCCCATATATCAAGCAATTATACTAAAAATAAGTGAATAAGTAATTTCAGTCATTGCATCTAAAAGTGTGGGATAGAAACAAACAGTGACATTTGTATAACAGTGGTTTTTTTTTTTAAGAGATTTTCACTATAGGGCACGTGCGCTCGCCAGACAGAGAGAGACATAGAGACAGAAAGCGAGAAATCACCCCCCGGGGGGATGGTCATGCCGCAATCCCTTCTCCTCCATTCTCCTCTCGGGATCTTGGGCACGCACACACATGCAACCCGGCGTGAGTTTTAAGCCACCGGGTCTGGGATGCGAACCGCGGTTGACTACGTGGGAGTCCAGCAATATAGCCATTACGCTAACTGCTGGTTCCCATAACAGTGGTTTTTAAAAGGTGTGTGGTGGGCCAATTAGGTTGTATAGTGGTTAAGGTGCTGGATCTCATACGGCCATCTGCATAGTTTGAGTCCTGGACCTAGTGGGTTGAAAAGCACACTGGGTGCACGTGCATGTGTACCCCAAAATCCTGAGAAGACATGAAGGAGAAGGGATTGCAGCATGGCCATCCCCCCTACCGGGTGCTTTCTCAGTCTGCCCCCACTCCAGTGAGCACACAGACCCTAGACCAAAAAAAAAAAAAAAAAAAAAAAAAAAGGTGTGTGTGGCAGCCTTGCAAATAACACAGACTCACTCACTACCCAACTGGAAATATAGGGGACAATGGGCAGGAAGTAGGAGGCTGCAGGTGACGGGGATGGAATGGCTGCAGAGTAGTCGCTTCACTCCTCCTTGCAGAGGATGGCTGGCCAAAGGAGCCTGACCCACTGGCTGGGGAAGACACTCTTGGCCAGTGGCACTGCCCCAACCATACAGGGATCCTTTTGTTTACAATTCACCTGCCACAGAGCTGCTGCTACCAGTTGTGAGATAACACTATTTTCTTGAATAAAAACACACAGATACATACAAATGTGGGGCTTTGACAAGCTGATGGCAACACACTGATTATCACGGCAACAGCGTATGTATCTGAGTGCTGGACATCTTGTAATACTAACACCGTGAGCAAGCCAATGTTTGATCATGATAACGGTGAGCACTGCTGAATCTGAACTATGAAAGTACTTGACATACAAGTGGCGACTACTTCAACTGCTAGACACGGCTGTTTGTTCAGAGTCCCGAGAACTCCCTTACCTGGTGACATGGTCGGTCAGGGTTGGAAAGTACAAGACCAGGTCCAATGATATTAAAGGTGGCATCAATATGCATTGGGTTGGGATCTTTAAAGGAGATGATGTGCACTCTGTAGTCGGGAGCAAGATGCCTGCGCATCCATTCAATGCCCAGGTAGTTTGTAACCTGAAAACAAAAGGAAGACATACAATCCCTAAAGATGTCATCCTGTTTAGGAAACTAAAAATACTTAGGATACAAATGTTTTCATTTGGAAATAAGAGCTACAATAACATAGTGTGAACTTTCAAAGGTAGTTTATATCAACCTGGCTTCTCTGTGCAAAAATATCTCTTCCAGCTCGAATGAAGTCCGCGGCATCAAAGCATGGCTCGAACTCGGTCGTCACGAATTTTCCCTGAGCAGCCAATTTGTGCCTGTCTTCTACTGAATGGATGGGGTAATCCTAATTGGGACAGGAGTAAGCACTGGTTCAGGAAGAGTTATTTATAAGACATACATTACTTAGAAAACGGAATTCAACACCACCAGTTCCCAAAACACTACTGTTCAGTTCAAGTTGAAAACACGCATGCAGAGTCACAGGTCTGTGCTACACAGACCAAAACAACACAAACAACTCAGCACGACAGTCATTTCCTGATATGTGGAGACTGCAGATTCTGAAAGTATTTCCATGGCTCATACGTTGATGTACGGAGCTGTCTACAATTCTGACAGGCAACAGATGAAGTCATCCTGCTCTTTTAGAAAAGGAATTTGGTCCTAAGCTTCGCTCACTCTGTAAGATGAGATGCTGTGAGTCCCTTGCCAAATCTGATGGAGTGTGGTAGAATTCATTCATTATTTATTTCTGTCTACGAACTCCTAGAAGAAATTTTGGTTTTTAAATTATTTTCTATGCATAATAAAATAATAAGTGATTTAGTAAGGAATACATATTTCACTTAATTCACATTTTATGTGAGTTTTGCCTGTAGACCAGGTTCTTTTTCTAGAAGAGGAAGGACTTTGACCTAGCGACTTTCTGACTCCACCAATAAATAGCTATGGGCGCTCAGCAAATTGTCCTCCCTGTCATGGCATAGCACTGCTTCTCCATGGGGTTGTTGGGAAGAATGAACAGGATTACAAATAAAGCACTTGCCCACGGCCCAGCACAAGGTAGGCATCAGATATATGTTAGCTGTTATTATTACTCTTATTATCACAAGATCACTTACTCTTATTTTTATCATAAAACATTTGGTTTTGAATATCAGTGATAATCTCCATTTCCAAAATGCATAGTGTATACAAGGCAGCAGAGAATCTCGACCTTACTCTGTGTGGGTGAATGGAGAAGGTACCAGTGAGGTGGCCGATAAGCAGGTCTCACCTGGTCATAAAGCTCGTCCGCCATCGTGGGTTTAGGAGCTGTGGTCCACTTCGCACCGCGGTGGAAGTAGTCCTTGATAATCGACCGGTATGCTCTGTACTCAAAGAAGCGTGCGCGCCACGCCATGGGAGCCTCAATAATCTCATTTCCCACAACAATCAGGATGTCTCGAGGCATTGCACTGTATAAACCTGTCAGAACAAGAAATTCCACAATGACTTCAGGAAAGCTCACTTCTAAGGCAGAGGAGTCAATACAATATGATCTCATTTTTTTCCCCTTTGGTTAAAAAAATCACTAAAACCCCTGTATATAGTACACACACACACGCACACACACACTATAAGTATTTTAAAATACAAAATCATTGAACTATATTGTTAGCACAAATTCTGTATGGGGTGGTGAAACCAAGCAAAAAAAGGAAAAGAAAAGAATGAAGTAATAAAGTCTATTTAAACAGAGCTTGAACCGCCAATGCTTTACCATTTATATGTTCTTTTCTTGCTATAAAGAAACAGAGTTCTTAAAGGACTATCAGTATCACAAGATCAAAATTGGGCCAAGGGTCATTCTAGAACTATAAATTAGAATGCTGAACACAGGCACAAGAACAGGCATGCAGCAATGGCAATTAAAGATAAAACAGGTGTAGGGCCATCGGGTGGCATGGTGGTTAAGGTGCTGGACTCTCACATGGCTGACTGCGGTATGAGTCCCAGACCTGGCTTTCTCACTCTCTCTCTTTCTCTCTCTTCCTGTGTCTCTCTAGTAAAATTGAAAATAATAATAATAATAATAATAACAATAAAATAATAATAAATAAAATTAATTAAATAATTATTTTTTAAAAAGATAAAACAGGTGTGGGGGCTAGCAGATGGCATAGCAGTTACATCGCTGGACTCCCACATGGGCAACTATAGTTCGAGTCCCAGACCCGGTGGCTTGAAACTCACACTGGGCACACGTGTGCATGTGTGTGTGTGTGTGTGTGTCCAAGGTCCCAGGAAGAGAATGGAGGAGAAGGAACTGTGGCAGGGTCATCCTGGGGGGGTGGGGGAGGATGTGATTTCTCTCTCTCTTTGGTGAATGCACATGCCCTAAGGCAAAAAACAAAAACAAAAACAAATTAAAAAAAAACCCTTACAACTCTACAAAAATAAACAAAATAAAACAGGCATGGAGGCTGGCCCAGTAGCACAACAGTTAAGCACTGTGCATAATGAGTTAGATCCCATACAACTGACCATGGTTCAAATCTCAGTCCTGGTAGCTTGTAAAACATGCCATGTGCAAGTGTGCCCCAAATCCCGATGGAATAGAGGAAAAAGGACTGTGGTGTGGCCATGCCACAATGGTGAGTGTTTTTGCTCTCTACCTCTGGCAATTAAAAACCAAAACAAAACAGAAGATAACAGGAATGCTTCTGTTTTTGCTATAGGGTGCATGTCCTGCCAGAGAGACAGAAAGTGAGAAATCACCTCCCACCCCCACCCCGGAGGAGATGGCCATGCCATAATCCCTTGTCCTCCATTCTCCTCTTTGGATTTTGGGCATGCACACATACACGGGCATGAGTTCAAAGCTGCCAAGTCTGGGCCTCAAACCACAGTCAGCCATGTGGGAGTCCAGCTCCTTAACAGCCATGCCACTTGCTGGCTTCCATAGTTCCCTCTTAATTTCTGTTTTTGAGGAAAAGTAAATGGAATTCTTCTATTGATATGTCAGAATGATCATAAAATTTAGGAATAACTGCTTTTTTTTTTTTGGAGAGATTTTCACTGTAGGGCGCGTGCGCTCGCCAGACAGACAGAGAGAGACATAGAGACAGAAAGCGAGAAATCA